TGCATTGATAGCTCTGTGCAAACTCCTTTGATGGTTGAGAAGTTGGTCTACTTTGGGCACCCTAGTCTTAGTCATAAGTCACGAGTAGGCTGCTGTAAAACTATTGCTTTGCTCTGCAGAGCCTATAGTAATTCTCTTATGCGAGCAACAGCAAGCTCAACCTGCAGGGGGTGCTGCCACCAGTCAAAATACCAAATAGGTGACATCTGTTTGTTTCTGTGAACAAGATGCTAACAAGTACTCCAACTGCAAATTTAATTTTGGAATGTAACTTCCAGACTATGGAATAAATCACAAAAATAGCCTATAACCAGATTCTGCTGCAGTCTATTACATAATTTAATTCTCTAAGCCAACAGGCACCGTCACGCTAAATCGGAAAAAAAAACGATTGTATGTAAGAACAGCATAACCCAGGGCGATATTAACCTCCGCTGTGGCACCGTATAACACGAAGAAAGGGGTAGACATGTAAGTCTAGGCTTATGCAGTAGGGTGACAACCATTTACATGCAGCAGAAAATTGGATTAAACGCTGCATCAGAATACAATGACTGGGACATTTTGGGGCAGTGACAGTGACTCCCCCCCCCCCCGGAGCAGGGAGGCACAAAGCTACAGCACCACGCTTAAAGTGTTGTGTCGTCGCGAGCGATACGATCGGCCCCCCTATCAGGGCTTCCTCTTTACACGTGTCGTCCCTTATCCATTTCAGTGCCGACAGGAAAGCGGCCCTGTGGATGGCATGCCATCAGAGGGGGCTTAGCATAGCCGCAGGCTAAGACCAGTGGAACCACTGGGGTTTAATGGAGTCCTCTGTCAGGGCATTTAGTCGCACTCATTAGTAGCTTATACTGTTTGCCTGACGTGTACATCACTTTGTAGAAAAACAACTGCTAAATAAATAGATGTAAATGTGGCAGCTGTAGTAGCAGAGAGTGGGTTCGGCAGAAGACTAGAAGCTTACATATTAGGCTAGCTAAGAGTTCCTCTGTGTATTTTTGTTTCGATAAGTCGGAAATTCCCTTTTCTGGTTTTAGACCCAATCTTCTCATGTGCTGAACAGCTCTTTCGATGAACGTGCCAGAATGTTCCATGCAATTATTCACGAGGATCTACTCTATGCACCGGAGAGAGTCATTGTTGCTTTTGTTCTTCGTGGACTTCCATTGAAAACGTAGCTTCAGTGGAAATTTGAGGCACTTAAGGGTCTAGGCCTTGATTGCAAATATGTTAATTGTCAGTAAAAGTCATGTTGAACAGTGAAAGAAATGGCAGGTGCTGGTTTAACAATACAATTGTATCGGGATAAATTATAAAGAGAAGTGGCACACAATGGATTTTTAATTTGTGTTGCCACAACCTGCTTGTATTTGTTGCTGTATTTAGATTGCTTTTGTCTTTATAGCCATCCATCCATATTACATCAGCTGTGTTATAGGGTCCCAGCTTTATAGAGTGACAGAAATTAACAGTGGATACCTCTTTCCGTAGCCAGCATTTTGCTTTTTTTAAAAATGTTGTCACTGGATCTATTTTTGGGGAAGAACTTTTAAGTGATCTGTAAACATTTTTGTTTGGAATTGTGTGTGTGTTTTTGTGTTAGTTTTGGTTAATAGTTTGTGTGTGTGTGTGTGTGTGTGTGTGTGTGTGCGTGATTTGACTTGGATATATACAAGTAACGTGTGTTTGACATTTTTTGTTATCAAATGAAAGGCTGCTCCCTTTAATATACATATTTATGATTTTAGTATAATCTCGTTCAGACAGAAAACGTCAAATTACTAAATTTTTGCAAATAATATTAATAATATTCTATTATTGTGTGCTACTGTGTACCCCAGTCCAGACTGGAGCTTGTATCAGCCTATATATTAGGAATAATGTCCGTCTGAAAACTGTCTCCCATAAACTTTCCAACTCAATAATTTGATAACAACTTCAGGGGACACAAATAATGTAGTAGTACACTTTTACTTAGTTACCGATTAATTAATGTATTAAGTGTTAGTCACGGTACGTACCTATCCCATTTTCGTTCATTAATCAGTAATGACGGTTCATGAATTTCATTCAGCAACTATGTTAGTTCCGTAACTGAGTAACTAATTAGTTATTTGTGCCCCCTTAGTGTTACCAACTATTTTAACACTTATTTTACATTTAGTCCAGAACGCCTATTTTTTTTTATTTTTTTTTACAAAATTGTTAGTCTTCCAGTGTTTTGGTAAATTATCGCATTTTTGAGTGACTTGTTTTATATTCTCGTATTTTTAACCTAAGGATCTTGTCGGTGTCCTGGATTATGTAAACTGCGAGCTAAATGCTAGACATTAACATGACTTTGTCTCACGGCCAAGAAAATGTATTTATCGTTTTTAGCTTAGCTCTTTAATTAATGTTTTGAATTTCACCGGTAAAAGCGACAAGTTAAATGCTTTTTTAGGATTATAATTTCATTTCTAGAGCATTACTATTTATGAAAGGTAGAGCGTGCTGAGAAGCTGAAGATCGTAACTGTGACTTTGACTGTGTAAATCATGCAATTTTCCATGAGACGCAACAATGAAAGGAAACGAAGTTCTTTTTAGTTTTTGAGTTGGGTGATTTCTTTAAGCTTTCAGTAAAATTTTCCCGGCGGTATATAATGAAACAGGCCGGCGAGCCTTCACCTGTGATATGCACTTGTTGGCACGACCCTAAATACGCTCTAATGATGTTGTAAGAAACACAATTCAATATATGGTAATATTCATCTAACACAATGTGGTAAAAGCAAAGTGCTCGGCACGGTTCGGTCTTTTTTTTTTTAATTAAAACGCAGGATAACTCCAAGTCGTTTACCGGGGGTTTCAGCAAACTGGTCGGGTAAACGAACCCTGAACTTGCTCTCAAAACTGAAATAAACCAGAAGATGTACATAAATTAATAATCTTATTAGCTGGTACGTGAATGAATAAGAATTCCGGAGGTAACTGTTCAGAATAAAAGCCACCCGCCCGCCCCATCATCTTTCAAGCATGGCCGGCAGACTCATTAAAGACATAAATGGCTATTGCTCAGTCAGATGCCCCCCTGCAGCTCAAACTAACTCGGTAATCTGACACTCCTAACCCACTGATCGGCGCAAAACTAGCAGTCAGGAGTTAGCGTTCTGATTGGTCACCGGAATTATTATATATTTGCATATGGAAGATTGGCATTCACACAGTGCGGATTAAGAATTACTTTGATTGGATGGAAATTACGTCACAATCCAAAAATGAAAATTTAAACGCTTTGATATCTTGCGTTTATGTTGACGTCACCCTGAATGGGCTGTATAGCTCGGGAGTATAAGTGCTGGCGTTTCGGAGCTCGATATCGGCCGCCCCCCCCCGTGTGGAGTTGGACTTGTATAAGATTGCTTCTCAAGTGCTCGGAGGTGGGGGCGATCCAGAACCACCACAGTGTCCTACCTCATCTACCGACGCTAGAGTGGTCCCAGCGACGGAAGGTTAGTGTTCAGTTAGTAGGGAGGGCTACGCCCAGGTGAATGAGGGGCTGGTCTTCTCGGGCTGCGATCTACTACGTCCAGTGACAGACATACTAGACCACAGTCACTTCACACAGCTAGTCGCGCGGGACTCGCCCCTACCACCCCCTACCTAATACTACCACAGCACCCAATGTCAGCGCAGGCTGAACAACTACTGCGCAATCCCGATGATAGTCTTCTATCATTTTAAATTGCAGGCTAATTGTGGTCATGGTGGATAAAAATTACGAATATATTTGAATATTTTTTTCATATTGAAATAATCGATTATGCAAACAACATCCAATCACATGGCGCTTTATTATAATATTATGATTGCGCTGTTGCTAAATCATCCTTTGGTTAATCTGGAGGCCCGTTCCCCATGTTCCCCCGTAAAATAAAACAGTGGCCGGTAACAAAATGTCATGACTGTTTTTTAAAAGCCCATAGTAAATAGTCACTTGCAATAATATGCTCAGCCGCGCAGGGGCACGGATGCGCCAGACGATACCACCCCCACCCCACCCTACCCTCCGTCACAGTGCAGGACTCCCATGCGCTTCATGATCACGGCACCGCTGAAGTTTTGAAGACTGATGTTGCGATGACAGCGCGGAATGTTGACTGCGACGTCCTGAATAAAAGCTAACGAGTATGAGCCGGACGGGATAAAAAGGGAAATATCACACGTGTTTGGTACTGGATTTCATATCGCGCAACACATGCATTCGCAACTTTGTTAAATGTGCATCTGATGAAACGAGTCAATTTACACATGCCAGACCAAGTCTTTAGCTGGTGATTGTTCTCACGTTACCTTTAACTAACATTTAATTCAGGCAGATTAACACATACCTACCTACAGTAGAAACGTGTTTAATATTACAGCTACAATTGCCAACACAAATAAGCGGGTCTGCCGATGACTAATACGAACTAATATTACTGAGCTATTAATAGAAACAAACTTTCACTGCAAAGCACACAAGGCAGGTGAAGGAATCATTTGTCCTATACTTTTGTATTTTCACTTATGCTTACGCATCCTAGCTGAGTAATAGGGTAATATTCTCCAGTCCTTAGATGCAGAAAATAAAAACGAATAGGCCTGCAGGGTATTTGCACTTTAAATCTGATTTATGACGACACTGTCGTTATGCACCTGTTATATAAAATAATAATTTTTCGGTAATAGGCTAATCTATTATTAGTCTATATATTTTATAGCTTTGATCAGAAGAGTACTTAATTCGCTGTTTTAAAAGCTAAGTGAAACCATTATAATTGAATTTAATTTATTCAGCTGTTATATGGGTGACTGTCAAAGCTTTGATATGTAAATTTATTATAGATTATATTAATATGTTATATATACTAAATGTAACTGCATAGGTCAAGTTTACAGATGCTGTCACACGTCATATTTAGACGAGCAGAACATTCTCAGAATACAGTAGGGCTTATCCTTGGAGTAATTTACCTGTAAGCAAGGTAATGGTTCACACACCATCTGGCGAACAGGCTGGCTCCTTGCGTTGCTAATCTTGCATGCAAAACAACTCATTCCATCCTAGAGGTGGGAAAAAGAGAACATAATATGAAGGATTCAGAAACGAACAGGACCATCAGAGAACGTTCGTCCGCAGAGGGCTGCCAAAGGACGCCATCCCGTTCTCCACACTCAATCTCTGCGTGTCCTTCACTGCATTTATTTCAATGGTTAAATCTCTGACTTGTCTGTATTATTTTTGCTCTGCAGTTTGGCTTTTGGGATACATGAGCTTGCTCAGGATAAGTAACCTGGGGGGGCTGTTATTCTTAAACAAGATGGGGTGTCATCCCCTCTCATTTCTTCAGCCCAACTCTGTACATTAATGCAACTCTTCTTTCTGCATGCTGTTGTTGCCAGATCTGTATGCCATACCTTTCGCTGAATCCGAGCTCCTCTGTGGTAATGCTACCAACAGGAAATAAGCAGTAAGGTGGGGGTTGGGGGGGTGGAGGAGTCATCCTAAATTAAGACACCTTCCAAAAGCCAGTAATAAGCAAACAATGATTAGCATCTGAAATAAAACCCAAACAGATGTCCTCTTTCCCAGAAGCGAGGATTACCCAGCACCTATACATCTTTGCTCTGCTGGATGGCTTCCCCCCAAACCCCCCCCCCCCCCCCCCCCCCCCCCCCCCCCTCCCCCCGCAACCCCCCCCCCCCCCCCCCCCCCCCCACCCATCCCCTTCCCAACACACAAACACACCCCTTAAATTCTGTACGCCGCCACACTGCCCGACAGTGTGTCAAGCAAACAAAGACGTGTTTTGGGTAATTGGTCCTACCGCGTCTGTATGGAAATCTCTGAGTGTGTGACAAGCCTAGATAGCTCCCAGTGCCTTCCTGATCCGCACTTTAGGTCAGCAGCCAAAGTATTTTATCTTTTAATGCATTAGAGTGATCTTCCAATTAGCTGTTGCTTATAATACAGCGATTTCTCGTGGCTGCGGCTCGGGTGGGAGGGGAGGCGCGGCGGGACGGGGGGGTGCCATGGCTCGGGGGTAGGGGGTGCAGCGATAGTTCTGCTTGAGAGGCGAAATGAGGTGGTTATTGTGAGCGGCGCTGGGGTTGCGCTGTTGCCGAGCTCCTGTTGTAAAGTTTGCTGATAAGCGGAACCAGGCCCTCCAGCATCCATTTTGTTCGGTATATTAACACTCCTTATCTGCGCCCAGATAAAACCGCATGCCATTTGCCTTTGGAGGAATTAGCTCGTCTTCCTTGGCTAACCAGGCAGTGGTGATTAACCTTTACACTGTCCAATATTCTCTGCAGACTCCCGCTCTCAGATTAGAAACCATTAGTTATGACCAACTAAATTAACAGCTCTCTCTCTCTCTCTCTCTCTCTCTCTCTCTCTCTCTCTCTCTCTGCCGCTGCAAGAGAAACGCTGCAAGCTGCCTCGTTTAGAGTGGTGGAGGATGCTCGAGTGAGGGGGCCGCATCTGCCCCCCTCCCAAAACGTGTGGAAATTTGCATGCGTCCCCGATACACACTCACGACCTTGCAATTAAGTCACTGCACGGATACGAGGAAAGCCAGGTCTCTTAATTAGTGTCAAATGTCACCTTACAGTATTTACAAAACATGCGACATGTATAAATCAGAGTGTTTTTATCAGTAAAACATATTGTTATTATTATAACAGTTCTGTTTTCTAGTATGATAAAATTTCTAGTATGATATTTTTTTCACTAATGTGACATTCTCTGAAGTTAAGAGCTGGGATAAAGTGAAAAGAGGTATTTTAAACTGATATGTATTATTTTTAAACGCTCCATTATTTACGGCCACAGACCATCATAAACTAATAACTTGCTTTGGCCCTATGGAGAAAACTGATGTGTAATTTAATTTCATCTGTCCTACTACATTTTTACACTATAATTTCTTTTAATTAATTGTGTTTCAAAGGTGCGGAAGCCCCCAGCACACTTTGCAGAAGAATGTATGGGAAAAAAATGGGTGATGTGAACCACAAAGCATTAATATTAATGTAGAATTAGCATGCTTAAAAACTGTAATTATACCAATGTCATAAAGCGTTTAGAAATACACAAAAGACAGTTCAGTGACTTGCTTGTTTTGTTCTATGAAACATGACAGCTTTGTGTTTTGTGGGGTCATCTTAGGTACCGTTCACAATCTTTCTGAAATCCCTCTGTTGTTTCTGAAATGGGGGGGGGGGGCTTTCTGTGCCGGGTTTGACTTTGGGCGTCAGGTTTACACAATGATGCCAGCTCACCGTTCTTCGTAGGAGGTCACGCTGAAGGATGTGATATGGAATGTGGCAGGTGGCGTCCACATTACCCACGCTGTATAATAAGGGCGGGCGGGCGGTAGGGGACACGGATGCAATGGGCTCAACACAAAACCTACTGTGCCATTTCCAGAGGGTGCAGTGTTAAGAAAATGACTGAAATGCAGTGAATCGATTAACATAACCTGCGTATGGCCACAGATACAGAGTCGGGGGGATGGCATTCTCAGAGAAAAAGACCCACACACACATGGAGGCTCGAACCCGTATCAGTTGTGCAAAAGACCACTTTGTCACCACTGTACTGAAAAGGTGCAGTAGACTGCTCCGATGGTCTTCCCGCATTTTGTGCGCAAAATGAAAATTAATTGCTGATATTACAGAAGAATGGGATTACTCTGTTAGATGCAGCCCCCTGGAATTCATAAAAAAAACACCTTTCAAATAGCAAATGCCTGTAAACAGGCTTTTGCGCGCCGAGACCTCAACCCCTGGCAACTATCTGCTAGCTAGCTCCTGAAGACATGTTTATCTGCGTGCGCAATTAGGAGCGTGAAATTTTTACATGCTGCGCTAAATGCTTTTGTTAGCTTTCCGTTACAAAGGACACAAAGCGGCAGAGGGAAAAACGAATTTTCTGCCATGAGAGAAAAAGCGCCAGCACACTGATACCAGAATAATCACATTTCCCCCAAATCCCGCTGGCTGGCATGAAGCGGAAGTCGGCTTAAGACTGTCCAGAGGCAAGTGGGGAAGGGGAGGGGAAAGCGGGGGCGTTGAATCAGGGGCTTAAATAATGCACCCCCCCCCCCCAAAATCCAAAATGCCCATAAGGATCGGAGGCGCCCACGGACACCAGCCTGGCCACCTACACACTCTGGTTTTGGAACGGCTGCGGGTAAACACACCTGCCCGGCATGGGCACCCCTGAAGCCCATCCTCAAAACGCGAAAGAGAGTCAATGGGGCTCTCAGCCGCGGTGCCAGGAAGCGGGGGCCCTCCCATCCGGCTTAAGAAAATGAGTAATCAAGGCCTGCGATTTGCAAACTGTCAGTCAAGCTGCTATCTTCCACTGAGGCTTCCTCCTCTAATACCAATTTAAATCATTCATAGGCCTTCTTCTGCCATTATTCAAAAGATCATAATAGTTTCCTTGCGCCCAAAGCACAAAAAATCAATTATTTCCCCACAAAGACTTGAAAGTACTTAGCGAGAGCTGCGAGAGAAGCTATGGGTTATATCAAATTGAAACTGCACTCATTACTCACCACACAATTAGTTACCTCTAGTCTGTGTGGCTCTTTAATTCCGAATGGCATATCTGTATTATTTCAGAAACAAGCATGCAAATACCATTGTCGGGGATTTAGAGAAATCAATAGGACAGAGGCACAACTGTTTGGTGGCCTGTCACTCAATCTGCTGTGTGTTGGAGATAAAGGTCTGAATTCAAATTAATGAAAGCCGACGGTCACATCAGAAGTGACACCCAAATAAAAGAAATGGCTCCATGATATATGTAATTATTCAACACATGTTCGCCTTTCCCCCCCATTGTATATACTCGTGTAACTGCGTTTCATATAAAAGGATTAGGAGTGTTTTAATGAGAAACCGTAATTGTTTCCTCAGCGCGGGTGTATCTGCATGCGTCCGCGAGCATCCCTGTCCTTCTCACTGTGAACAGTGCTGTATGTATAACAGACAGGCTGCTACTGCCACCCAGTAGTCTCTCGACACCCTGGACTCCTGCGTTAGGGTGTGGGGGGGGGGGGCATTCGGTGGGCTGCGTCACCAAGAAAAAAATCCGCAGATAGAACAGCGATGTATGGATCAGTCTCCTCAGCCATGCCCCAGACCAAGCCCACCGCTAAACCCATAATGCAATGCAACACCCCGAACAACAGAATCAGTATTTCCCCAAACACCCCACAGTTACATAACTCAGTTTGCCTCCAGTTTTCAATTACAATCACCCTGATAGCATCCCATCATTCACGTGTTAGGGCTGATTTAAGGCTGATGGGAACCGCGGACACTGGCGGGGTCTCCCAATGAGAGCGGTATGCCGATAATTGAAACTGGAGTCGCATGCTACCAGCCAAGGCCGTGGGGGGAGAATTCTACGAAATGGGAAAGTGGGGAATTTATCTGGAACGAGAGTCAGAGTTCAGAAGCCAGGTGTGAGATTTCGGTTTTCAGTTTCTCCAGCGTGGAGCAGATTCCTGGCTTTCGGAAAAGCAGCATCGACTGTGTATGGATGTGAGAGGCGAGGCGGGAGACCCAGGGGGCCGGTTAGTGGGTGGCGGTGCGTCTTTCCAGGGCTGGGGAGGCACTTTGTGGTCCTGGCCTGATGGTGAACAGGTCAATGACAGGTCAGAGAGGGGGACACTGCCCCTGGCCATGCTTGACCCCTGAAAGTGGAAGGATCCCTCGTGAACTGGCACCTACACACCCCACACCGTTCCCCCACTAGTGGGCAAAAGAGGCTCCACCAGTACGTCCTACCGATACGGAAATTCTGGAATGGTCCTCTGGAATGTGTTATGGGTGTAGGTAGCTGGACCAAATTCCACCTCACCCATGCTTGCCAGATTCAAATGGGCTCAACGGTGAGAAATCAGCTGTTGTGTTAAACTCACTGTAAGACGATCTTTAGTGTGCTACTGCAGCGTGAAATTCATTTTTTGGTAACACTGACAGGCACAAATAATGTTGCAGTACACTCTTATTTAATGTATTAATTAACCAGAAATTAAGGGTTAGTTATGTACTGATTGCATGTTCATTCATCATTAATCAGTCATGACAGTTCCTGTATTTCATGTAAAAACTATGTTAGTTCATGATTTGTTCTTGAGTAGTAACTAAGTAACTAAGTCATTTGTGGTCCCTCAAGGTCCCTCAAATGTTACCCATTTTTAATAAAATTAGGTCTACTGGGGGCCTGTATTTCTTGAGTCTGACTACTGGTGGTAGCTTGCGGAAGCACCTTTTGGTTTCCTTGCTCAGGTGTCAGCTGGAAGACTTGGAGAGAAGTGGCCCTTGGGGGGCCCTGATTCACTCTCCCGCTGTCTTTCCTGGCCAGAGAGAGATGTTCATTCACCAGTCCATCGGGAGCTAGCGGGAGCTGGCGGTGACAGGGGGAGGCTGGGGTGGGAGAGAATAAGAGAAGGTCACTCAATTATGTGTGGTAATCACCGCTAGCATATTATCTGAGACCCAGGTGTCTAAGCTGACCCCACGTGACATGACCATTAACCCCCGCCGTCAAATGGGGAGAGCTGGGAAATGGGGGCGACTGCCCTCCCTTCAGTAAACGACCTCTATTCAGGGCCCCCCCAAACCAAACATACACACACATACGCACACACACTTCATAAAAGATGGAGATATGGCAGCAATTTGCGTCAACGGGCCCCGGCGGGTCTGACCCTGTTCGGCAGGCAGGCAGCACCCCAGCCCTCGGCACCGGGAGCTTTTCACCGGGCCCAGCCATGTGAGATAAAGGCTGGCAGGCCGACTGAATGAGGCACACAGACAGGGCCACCGAGGGGGGGGGGGGGGGGGGCTCGCTCTGTCATTCAGCTGCTGCCAAGGAGCACACTGGGAAACACTGGATGGGAGCAGAACCCCCGCTTCACACCCCCACCCGTGTCCCCAGACGAGGCCTACGACATGTCTGACCGCTGGTTGTGCTTTATCTGACAAGATCGCGATCACTCACGTTACGTTATACGCTCCCAACCCACCTCACAATTCCTTCTTCATCCCCCCCCCCATTTTTCTGCAGCCCGAAATTGATCAAATATGAGGCGTCTGCGTTCATGTCTCTCTTTTCCCTAACGTGGTGCCGAAAGCACCGGGCGGCTCTGCACGGCACACGGGACACAATGCACTCCGACACGCATTCAGGGGGACACGCGTCCGTGGGCGATTGTGACGGCATGCGAGAGGACGCCCGCGTATATCAGGCTGAAAACCGCGCTTTCTTCATAGTAATTATGCACACGCCTTTGTGTGCAGATTCTAAACATGGCTACACAACTATTGAAAGCGACTTGACTTAATCTCCATGGAGGACCATCCCAAAACTGCGGCCGTGTGCACAATGGCAGACGCCGGCGAGGAGACGGATGATACATTCAGTCCTCAAGGGCGTTTCTCCAGAAATCAAGTAGTATTACGGAGCGAAGCTGAATGACGAAGCAGACGCCAGCGGAAGGTTCCAGCTGAATCGCTCCTCTCCTCAAGGACATCTTTGCTAACATGCGGGCTGAGGTTTTTCAAGGAAAAGGCGAGTGGTTTATCCCGAATCACAGAACAGACACCTTGTATCTTCAGGGTTGTATCAACCAACACTCCTGAGTGGAGGCCTTAGAGACAACACGCACGGCTATTTAGGTGCACAATTGCTGCTACGCTAACATGGTAAGCCCAAGTGAGTGACACCATCGCCCCCTCAGATTTGGGAGATTTTCTTAAAGGGACAGACGTCGTTTGGTTTAAGATGAGAATAGGATGGATGTTGCTTGTTAGGATTTAGCCCTGTGGGAGGTGGGGTGCCAGGAGTTGGGGCGTTTGGTAAAAAGGAAGCAATGACTATGGGCGGGGGGGGGGGGGGGGGACATGCAAGTGTAGATGAACATGGGTAAGACTTAGCGCAGAATGACTTTGACGGAATGGGCCAGGTCCAGCAAGAGACCGTTTACTGGGAGAGACCAAACCAGGCTAAATCAGGTCGAATCAGCCACATCCTCTCGCTGTCACACAACGGGGATGTTGACCGAGGACGTGTGTCATCATGTGCGCCGGCTGTGACGTGGGGCCACCCGAGCGTCAAGCAGCTCCTCACCGGCTGGGGACGCCAAGCCACCTCCACTCCAGTGATACACCAGATGCTCCATTTGGTTGCCACGTGAGCGCCGCCTCCCCCCCCCACCCCCGCCTGCCCCACCTCCCTTTGATCAGTGTCTCAACGAACATGAAACTTCCATTAAACCTCAGGCAGGGGAGTATCACACAACACCTGCCCCCCCCCCAGCACCGCCTCTGAATGGACACCGCGGCCGGGCTCTGTCGTAACACAATGTTATAAACCCTAGAGTGTCTCTGCCGTGAAGAAGCCCTTCCACCATGCCGGATGGAATGCCGCTTAGTTCCCTCCTGATGCGGTCAATATGGCTGCCTGACGAATTAAAGGATTTGTTGTTAAGATAAACGGCACACCCAAATCCGGGCTGTGGAACGATGTTGGGATACACAAGGTGGATTGTCCAAGCTTATCTCAGATGTTTATTGGTGAAACCTTGAAGAGAAGCAGTGTGGAGTGGGGGGGGTATATCGTTGAAAATGCTGTTGAAAATGTCTCGGGGCGAGCGTCCCGATCAGGTAACCTGCAGAAGTGGAAAACACCTTGCTACTCATGGAGGCTGATGGGAATTTTTTTTGTCTATTCTTTCTCATAGGCACTTAACCTTGGACTGGCATGAGGAGATTAGTCTAACAAGTCCAGACATTCCTCTGTAATTAAAGATGCCTGAACAGTCAGAAACACACGTGAATGCAACCCCCCCCCCCCCTGCCTTCCCCACCCACAGTATCCCTGTATCGCCTGTGTCTAGGGTATTTTTAAGCACCTTTACAGAGAGGGAGAGTGAGTCTAAGTCTCTAAGGCAGTATATATATGACAAAAACTGGTATATGCAGACAAGTCCCGGGGCAGAATTATCTAGGTACATGTTAACCATTAGCAGCCAAACCAGGCAGTAGTTTGAGGTGACAGATTGCTGTAAGTTCTACTTGAAAGGCTTAGGGGCATTTATGTGAGGAACAGTGGGTGAGATTTCCGGGTTGGGTGTCTGCTGGTCCAACTGAGGGCACCTTCATGAAGACTTTAATGATTGGAGACTGTTTATGTCCGTCTCCCCTGCATAGCAATCAGGATGGCGGGAGGCAGCAGATCTGACCTTTGACTCTTGACATGACGGTTGGTGCCCATATCACTGTGTGTCCGAAGGCTAAACGCTCGCGCCCTGAAGTCAGAGACAATTAGGCCGGACCCTCAAAGCATTCACGTCCCTGTGCCAAACAACTCGGGTTTGTGCCATTAGGCAGGTCAGAAGCCCTTACCCATAACTCCCTGGGGCACCGTGGGCACCCCCACCCCGACTCACATGCCACACGAAGACCATCACTATGACACGTCGGATGAGAGGAAAGACAAATAGAGGACTTGAGCAGAGCGGCCGTTTCTTGCGGATATGCATGTTGGAAAAGAAAATGAGAGAGGCATTATTTTGTTATTCATCTGCCAAGACACCTTTTCAAAAGCAACTCGATTCAATTAGAAAAAAAAAATACATAAATGGGGCAGATTGTAAGCGTGGCGACATTCCTTGGGCATAAGTGTCTGTTAAAGGAATCAAATAATGATCTAAAGGCCAGAACATGAGAAGGGATGGTTCCAAACACGAGAATATTCTGTGAAAAATGCCTGTTCACCTTGACATTCCTGAAGGCCTGTTGACCCTCCCTGCACCTTACCCCCCCCCCCCCCCCCCCCCCCCCCCCACCCATCCCCCCCCCCCCCC